TTCCTTTTCAGGATAGCTGTTATTTAGTGTTCATTTGATGTAATTGTCTACGTTGTGGTTCTCAATTTCTGCATGTGAAATCGTATGTATGTATGTATGTATTGTATGTATTGTATATTTATTTCACCATAAAGTAAATACAATAGGGTACTTGCTAAATACATAATGCTTTGTCATTATGATGTGGAACATGATAAATAGCTCAAAAAGAGCTAGTAAAATATCATGTCCCTACCCTAATTATAAACTAGTCAAATTATCAGAAATATTCTTACAAATATTCAAATAAAATAATATTCTATTTTTACGGATATGACTTGCCAGTCAGTTAGTAAGTAAGCGGGCCGGGACATGGTCAACATGAGACTCGAGGGTACAATTGTACCGGATAGGACTTACGGCAAAGTGGAAATAACATAACTATTTATGAGTCCAAATGGTAAATTTAAAGATGCCATGAAAAACCTAAAAAGAAAAGGAATAAAAGCCTTATTCTCATTAAAGACCAAAATTGGATCTGGTAATCTGGACATGTCCATACTACTGTCACTATTTGATAAACTTATCAGACCAGTTATTGTGTATGGAAGTGACATTTGGGGTGAAGAAAGTTCTACAAAATCAATTGTAGAGGATGTCCAGCTTACTTACTATCGGTACATTCTTGGTATCTCAAAAAATACACCAATCATGGCAATATATAGTGAATTGGGAAAATTACCTCTTGATTCTTTTATTTAAGAAACAAATGATAAATATGCCAATCGTGTTGCAAATTCTACAAATACTCTACTTCGAGAAGTATACTATGTCAATAAAATTATTAAAAGTAAATGGTTTAAAAATCTTGATTTGATACTAAAAAATATAAACCATTCTTATCTTTTAAATGAAACAAATATTATCTCATTATCAAAATTCAAAACAATTGATAAGAATTTAACAGAAGAGTTTACAACTGAGTGGAAAAATGAATTAAATAATGACAATAGGAAAAAATCAAATTCTAAAAATAAACTAAGAACCTACAAACTTTTTAAAACCAAAATAGAACAAGAAAACTACTTACCCGTTACCAATTATAAAAAACAGTGAACTTCGCAAATCCTTAACAAAATTTAGACTTGGCAACCACTGTCTGAAAATTGAAACAGGCCGGCATACAGGATTGGATTTTAAAGACAGAGTCTGCAATATGTGCGACAATGACCATGTTGAAGATGAACAACATTTTGTCATAAATTGTCCTCATTACAATGAAATAAGATTAAAACTTTACATTGTACCTAATAAATGTATACTAAATTTTGACAAATTTAGTAATGAAAATCATATCATTACTAAGTGATGAGAAAATGTCAATACTAAATCTGATTTGTAACCCTTTTCATCCCCTCCGGGGGATGTTGTGAGTAAATAAATAAATAAATAAATAAATAAATAAATAAATAAATAAAAAAATAAAAAAATAAATAAATAAATAAATAAATAAATAAATAAATAAATTAATAAGTAAATTAATAAGTAAATAAATTAATAAATTAATAAATAAATTAATAAATAAATAAATTAATAAATTAATAAATAAATTAATAAATTAATAAATAAAATAATAAATAAATTAATTAATTAATTAATTAATTTTCTGTAGGAAAATACAATTCCAAGAACACAAAACAAACGACTGTCAAAAATCCACAAGAACTAAAAAAAAATCATCAAAACTTTAAATTCAAACATAGTACACATTCAATGTAAGGATATGCAGAGTGCTTTGGATTTGTTAAAAATGAGCCAAAATGCGGTGACACTATCTAATCGGTGGTGGGAATTAATTGCTAAGCCAGTTACCAGTATAAAGATTCTATAGAGGTGTTAACCTCTTATTAACCAAAACAACTGTTTCAATCGTTTTGAATATGGAGATGTACTCAGTGTGGAAAACTATCATAATGCCATCAATTAACTATGGAAGCAGTGTTGATTTGTACAAAGCAAGGCAGGCAACAACAAATTAAAAAGCATACAATACAAATATGTCGTTCCACGCAGTTATGGATGATTTAGGCTGGTCTGATATAAATGTTGTACTTGTTAAAACTCATGTAAAATTCCTCTTGTGAAATCCCCAATATGAATTTCAATGTTATTAAGCATTTCAAAGAATTGAGATTTTATTTAGTACGTTTCCAGTGTAATACGTTTTTCATTACATAGAATTGGACGTTCTCTCCCATTTTATGCACAATATCCGGTAGTGTGCTGAGTATTACAGAATTGACATGGACTGCATTAAGAGAAAACATACAACCGCTCCAATCATACGCAGTACAGGAATCGCACATAAAAAAAAAAAAATTGCATAACCAATGAAAATCATTGAGGTGTATTAAATCAAGATAAAAGTGAAAACACGATAAATGGGAAAAATTGGGTGTGTAGCCTTATTAGTATACAAGAAGAGTAGTGTGTGTGCTTGAAATTAGCTACCACTTTTAATAACTGATAGTCCCACATAGTAATATTCATCAGGTTTAGTAGGTACTTATAGCCCTTAAGAAAAGTGTTGATATAAATGCCATTTTGCTCAATTTGTGTTGGAAACCCATAATTTTGAAACAATTTATTTATTTATAACCAAAGTACCTATATTTTGGTATATTTTGGACAAGATTTAGAGCCTTAGAGTTTAGAAAGTAAAAGGGGTGCAAATCATCATTAGAGGCAAACCAGGGCTTTGAAAAATGAAAATTGACAGTGAACATTTCATAGGCCCTTTATAAGAAATTTAAAAAAAGAAATTACTTTTATTAATTCTCATAACAAAGTTAAAGAATACTATAAAATGTATTTTACATTCCTTGTTCTTAAAAATGTTTATTTTTTTTTAGAACTTAAAAACGGGTACTTATGATTTGGGTTCTGTTCAGTTGTTCATTCGTGGGTGCGTCCGTCCCCACGTCTGTCGTTATTTCTCATAGACGCTTGGACAGATTTTCTTCAAATCTGTTACAAAGACAAGTCATAATGCTAGACATCGATTTATTTTTGATTTGGTTGACTTTTGACCAACTGGCGGCCATTTTTTGTTCCCCAAAACACCAAAAATCATCATTTGGACATGTCATCAACCGTTTCTCGGACTTGCCTTGGCTGATTTAATTCAAACTTGACATTAACATCAGTCATGGATGGTTACTGATACACGTCATTTTTTTTCGTGATTTGATACATATTTGGGTTAAATTTTGCACAAAGACAAGATATTAAATCGAATGGCGACCATTTTCGTTAAAAATGAATAAACTCACAAAATTCAAACATGTCAAATGTTTTTTAGCATGCTTTGACCGATTCATTCACATTCCTGGCATTGACATCAGTCATGGTGGATTACTGATGCACTTCATTTTTTTTCTTGATTCAATTCAAAATAGCGGACTGGTGGTCATTTTGTTTTTTTATATGTGTTCTGTTCATTTTACAGAGATGATTTCACAAATTGGGTTTAAATTTGGTACAAAAGCAAGATATAATGGGTTAAATTACTTTTGAATTTCAATGAAATTGTGCATATTCACATCCGTTTGTTTTCAACGGCCTTTGGTCAAGTTTGAATCAATTTTGTCTTCTAAATAGTTGCTGTTTGTCTGTATCATTTCTCGAGTACGTCTACTGAGCATCTGATGTGACTGCTGCAAATCCATTGATTTGATTAGTTGATAAAAAATTGCTGACTTTTGACTGTCACGTGCATTCTTCTGATTGTCATTTCTTGTGCATGCCTGGACTGATTTCATGATACATGTGAATATTGCTTTGTTTTATTTTGTTGACCTTTAACTGACAGCCATTAATTGTCCCAAAATCAACATTTGGAAATGTCATTAACAGTTCCTTGGGCATGCCTGACCAATTTCATTCAAACTTAGTCTTTATACCTGTTTCATGCACATTTGTAGTTATGCTAAATACTATCCCAATATTCGAACATAATCTGATTATGCATGCTTTTCATTGTTTGACAAAGTCACTAAAAACATGACGGGGTCATTGACAATGACTTTTTTTTGTCTAAGACACTTTTGGGAAGTCTTTACATGTATTGTGTATCAAGTGCAATATTTTATTAAAAGTTTGGTTGTTTTATTAGACTGCAGCTATTGGTAATCAGTTGTAATATTTATTGTGAGAATTGTGTTTTAAATTAATAATTTATATACATTTATGTGATTATTTACATAATTTTTTTTTTTTTTTTTAATTTTCTTTTTTTTAGACATGGTAAATTTGTTGGGAAGCACCCGTGGTTGACTATTCTGTGTGGCATGATTATCGGTGGTTTATGTGGAGTTGGTATGCTTGGATTTACAGAAGAGAACAGACAGGAAAAACTTTGGGTTCCAATCGGTTCAGTGTCTATTAATCACCAGGCATGGGTGAAAGAATTTTTCTCCATGGTATCAGAGTTTCACAGTTCATCATAGAGGCTGATAACGTGCTAACACCATCTGTATTACAATCTGTAAGTTTCCTGCTTGCAAAAGTTCATTTTTAATGATTTATTTCATGATAAAAATCATAGCGAAAAAATAAGATGTTTTTTGGGTCAACAATAAATAACTTCAACCCCCTAAGCAAACAAAAACAAAACAAAGTTTGCCAATGTATTAATTCATTTCTATGTGGAACAAATTCTTGCCAGTAATATATTAATAAAACTACTTCCTGCTAATCACACTGATAGTATATATTGGACAATAAATTTTAGAAAGCAACTTTAAAGTTGCTCTCTGAGATCATTCATAAAACTTTCTAGGGTCTTTGGAATATTACAAGGAAGTCTGAATATGTGTGAATTGTGGAAACATATACTGAACATTAGGTCTAGGCTAACAACATATCGCTAGCAGATGAAAGAGCTCCTCAAATGCAGGAAAATGCAATTTTCTCTAGATATTTATCTTTTTATCAGTATATATACAGTATAGTCCACTATCTTAATTATTCAGCAAAGGATTGTGGGTAGAGTATGACATAGACAACTTATACTAATTTATGTAATAAAAAATGATATATCTCATAGTAAACAGATGAATTTATTTATCTAAAAAAAAAATTGAAAACCATTTTGTAATAATGATGCAGATTTTTCTTTTAGGCATAAAAATAAAAACTGTGTTGTTTTAACGAAATTTCATCTAATTCGTTATTAAAGAGGTGTCTAATTATTAGGGTTCAAGTCCATTATTACATACATTAGATACACATTTTATATATAATTTAATAAATATCATTTCAATTTTTTTTCCATAGATGTTAACAATAGACCAGTCTGCTAGAACTGTGAATGCATCGGGACAAGACTGGGAAAGTGTGTGCTACAGGTAAGTCGAGGCATACAAAATTCATCAACTGCTCGCACCATTTTGTTTCCATTCAGAAATTCCTCTCTCCATGAACCCATGCTGTAGCTCTGTTTATGAGCATATGTATGTTAGAGGTTGTATCTGATTGGCTGTGATAGCAAGGTTATCAACCAGTCAAATTTATTGTTACAAATATTAACATTTCAAAATTGGTGAGTTTGTGTACAGCTTCATTTCTGACAATTACAAAAACATCAGTCTATTAAAAATATCAGCTTCACACCAGTCTTTATTTAGCTTTATTCAACTCAGTAGTTCATAATAAGCAACGTGCAATATTTTATTTTGTTTGTTGGTTTACTAAAACAATAATTTGCAGGTACAGTCAGTATAGTTGAATCAATCTCAAGATCTGTCATCAAAATGGGGATAGCATGTTTTTTCAACACCCAGTGACCATTAGTGTGACGTCATGCATTCAGAGTAACCAGCGACAAGCATATATAATCGGTACATGTACACAATACGATCATCCGATACATTACCGGTAGCTGTGTTTGTTACTAGATCTCGGCACATGTTGAGTATTTCCAATGATTCATGTTTGCAAAGGGATTACAGCTAATTGCATTCATTTTGATCAAGATTCTCTGGGATCCATGCAATTGCCTTGTGTCAAATCTTGTCTTTATTAGTCAATCTGTTGACCCAAACATGGCAGACGATACACATGTTCTGCACATCTATAATCTGATGCTATTTGCTGTTATGATATTTATCATCATACAAAGAAATGGCAAAGAATTGAAGAAGAGCTATTTTTTTTTGTGATGTTAGCATTGTAAGAAAAAAATTACATTATTCTCTGATTCGTACAGTGCGGAAATGTATTGGTTGTTACTGTACATTTTGCAACATGCTGCGTTTCCACTCAACTCTATTGACAACAAGAACTGATTCCTAACTATTCACACAATATGGCTTGTGCCTCCCTACTTTCAATGCTCTGCATGTACTGAGATTTCAAAAGTGAGAGCCATGATTGTCTCTGACTTATTTGAGTCAGTGTGTGTTAATTAAGTCTAAACTTTATTTTATTCAAACATTTAAAATGCAAACTGTGTGACTGTCATTATTCAATTGTTGAACCACACTGATTTTCTCTGTATCAACCTAAAGTAATTTGTGAACATCTTCTGCTAATTTTATTAAACCAACACAAGATATAATGCAAGACCAAGACAATTTTGGATTTTGTTGTATTTTTTCTTAAATTTACTACCAGCTTACTACATCATAAGAATCTTGGTCTTGTTACAATTCCCAATTCCTGAATTGATAGCTTTTGCCCGATTATACTTTGCGCACCTCTCGCGTCCAACACCGCAACTTATTATTTGATGGCATGTTTTTTTTTTCACACAGAATTTCCGGGTCATGCTGGTCAAACAGTTTATTAGAACTATGGGCATTTAATGAGACTACTATATTAGGACTTACACAAGAAGACATCCTAGATAGGATTAATCAAGACAATATTTCTAGGTTTGTGCTCACCATATTTATTTGACTTATCTTCAAGCTAAGTTAAACTATGAGATCGCTCCTGGATTTTGTTTGAGATCTTGGAGCAATTATGTGTTATATTTAATAGTATGTAAGTATGTGTAAATACTTTGGGCTGCAGTAATTAAAACAGAATCAAATCTTAGTAAATCCACATATGTCCAAAAACTTCTATTCATAAGTTTTAGCAAATGCAGTTCAAACTCAAATCAAACAGGAAGCCACAATCACCAATGTTCAGGGCACTAAAATTCATATTTCTAACATTTAACAAAAATACAGAAAATTAAATAGTAAAAAAATAATCTCAAGCCCACAAGAAAACTTAATCTCTGAGTTCAAGTCTAAGTTAATAGCATGGATAAATACATCAGATATAAATTAGTTTGATAAATAAGTAAGAATTAGTAAGATAAGGTAATTACATACAGCAATGTGTATATTTCCAGGGAGCTGGCATGTAAATACAACTGTACACCGGTACATTTCATTTTGTTGTTTTATTTGCTCAAAACATTAAACATTCTCACCTTAAGGTAGATGCCTACTCATGATTTCAAAAACCCAGAATTTCTTAATTCTTAATATTGACCTTGAAAAAAATGGGGGTCACCAGGTTAATTTTTGAGAAAATCATGGTTGTATTTTAGTGGATAGCTGCCATTTTGGCAGTATTATAGTGCTTTTACCATAGGTTCCTATGGCAGAGATATTATGCCATATCTCAAACTGTAGGCTGGTGACATAGGCTGAAAAAATAATATATTGTTAGTGATGGCCTACTTTTTGTTTTCCTGAATTTTTTCAAAAATCTGGGTTTTAAAAAGTGTTGAAAAATGCAATTTTTGTTTAACATTGCGCTCTATGGAATTGTTCTAAAAATAGCTATTTTTGAAAAAAATTAGTACAAGTTTCTCAAAATACATCACTGTAACACACAATAGAATGCTATTTTATGGTGCCATGAGACAATAGCTTCATGATTTTACATAATAAACCAATGAACATTGTCATGCGATTTGTGACCAAATTTCTCAAACAATATGAGTAGGCTTCTACCTTAAGATGACTTTTGCTGTTATTACATTTACCACTATTTCCAATCAAGAAAATCAATCACAGTGACTTTTAGTTGAAAAACTTGTACAGCTTGTAATCAATTCATTAAACATTCATGCTTCTTTGTAAACAAAAGTTAATTGCAAGTATAAAATAAAACAAAGCCATTTTTGTCCACAGTAATAGTCCAGTTTTTGAACTTCAAATCCTCTTGTTATTTTTAAAATTAAATGTGAAAACATTACAAACAAAATGTTAAAACATCACACGGGATTCAACAAACACAAAAGTATTTACGCGTAATGTACTATACATATTTGATGTTGCTTTGATGTTTCTTTTAAAAGATAGGTGTTTCAACTAAAAAAAAAAAAATTCAAAATCAAAGTTCAAAATCATTTGATTTTATAACATCATTTATAACATCGTAAATTCAATCCATTAATTTGTTGATACTGTGCAGGTACAGCAATGAAGTAATACAATGTCCTTATATGGACAATTTTTATTATCAATTTTATAAAATTATAAATGAAAACTATCATTTTGGTGATAATGTGAATTTTAGTGCAACTGCAGAAAAAGTTCTAAAACATGTAATAAAAAAAAAGTTATTTTTAAATTCAATTGAAAATATAAAACATTTAAACTGCTTCTGTGTTTATTTTCCTTTTGCCACATGTATTTAGATTCAAATGGACAATATGTTACGATTTCATCAATTTTGTAAATCTATCAATTAGTCAATTTTGTTCAAATACAACTATCATAAAATTGAGCCATGAAAAAATCTGTATTACATCAGCTGTGCTAGTTTAGCTTGCACCTGAAATTTAAGTCATTATGGTAATTCTTAAATTTTTTTCCTTTGCCAGTCCAGTTACCTTTGCACCAATTGATGTTGAGAAATGGCTTGGTGACGTTACCGAAGATGATGGAAGAATTATTGCTGCTAAGGCAACAATTATGACGTATTTTTTGGAAGATAATAGAGAATACGATCCTGTATCTAAGAGAGAGGTAGATACATTTGTTACTAACAAAATAAAACTTCTTATTTTTGACCAAATATTCGTAGCCCACAAGTCTTGATAGCATCTTTGGAATAAATATGGAAACAAATTATTCATGTTTAAAATGAATTGTTTGCTTTTCAAACAAGCTTGAAACAAATGGAAAATCATGTGATTATCTGGAAGGGCGGTGGTCGTCGTGCAGTGCATGGTTAAATTTCATGTAAACAAACAATGTATTTTACATGCGTTGTGTTTGTCGTTTATGAGTCGCACGTTGAACTGGACGTGGCATGACGACCACCGCCTTTTAATTCAATAATTATTATAGTTGCTTGCCATATATATATCAGAAAATATGAGGAAAAAAATGGGTTATCATATAGACTATTTTTAGAATCTTAATTGTCTAATTTTTTTATTTTATCTTCATGTAATTTGCAATTACGTAACGTGAAAGCATTACTTCATGACTTCAAATTTGTTACCTAGGCTGAAAAATTCTTATATTATTATTGATATGAATACTTATAATTATATTCAATAAATTTAATTTAATAAGTTTTCAGTTTATAATATTTTTTTTAATAAATTCATTGTGACTTTCTCGTCCATATTGAATGTTACTGAAGGTTAGTAAAGCAAAATTTAAAATCAACTGATGGTTTAAAGTTGCTTTCTGATATCTTTACGGTAGCTTTATTGTTTTGATATTTTAGTAGATGGTATGTATGAAAATATGTTAATAACAGAAAATATTATATTGGATTTCTTGGTTGCATGTCTACAAATGCATGCAGTTTGATCAAACGAGTATCAAAGTAAACCTAATTCTATTGGCTACCCTGTACTTTTTTAAGTTTTTGTTTGCGAACAGTCAACTTGATGAATACGGTTGGAAACATTGTCACAGTTTTTTTTTTTTTCAAAGTGCATATTGATTTGAACACAGCAACTTGTTTTTTGCTCAATGCAAAATATTTGCTCGAAAAAAAATAAAACACCAGCACATTTACAAAAATTGCCATTTTTGGATGATCCATGTAAAAATAAATTGTAATTCTCAGATTATTTGTTAATAATTCGTGATATCCAGAAGTATCCATCCTGTAGGTTCAACCGAAAAATGCTGTAAAAATACTGTATTTATGGTGAGACCTTTTTACCATAGAATGAAACCAATGGTAAATGACACAAAAAAGGGTTCAGTTCATAGAGTGGCTTTTGAATCAAATATGTATCATATCATGTATGTTGCAGATTGATCTTGCTGCACAGGCCTGGGAATCTGAATTTATTTTATTAAGGCTAGAAAATTACCCTGATGTGGATAATGTGTATGGGTTCACTCAAACAAGGTACGTATTCTAGGTTATCACCAGTGATTAAGTTGTCAACCTTCACTGAAACCTTGTGGTGGATTGAATATTGTAAACTGACATAAATGTTCATGAAAACATTGTAAAAACATGATTTTAGAACTTCAAGAAAGAAATTAAATCTGGATACTCAATAACTTTGCAGCGATGTATAGCTTATAGCAAACATACTATACTATGACAAATTCAAATACGTAAGGGGAGAAGCTACTTACTGTAAAATATTGATTTAATTTATTTTCGGTGAAGGGATGATTCAGTGAAAAATTAAATCCAGCAAATATACCTTTTTTCTTATGTTTTACATTTAACTCATCAAAAATCAGTGAAATTAAACTTAATCATACAAATCACCCCAAAAGTCTTTTCAGTGAAAATTAATTCCAGCTAAAATAAAATACAAATGTATTTCACAGTATACCATTTTTTTGTATTCACTCATTGCTGAATTAGCAGATAACACATTCGTTTACAAGCATTTTCATGACCACACTTTTGAAGCAATACGCTGCATATTTTCATGTAATTTGTTAGTTTGTTTTTATTAATGTTAGAAATAATTTCCCTGTGGCTACAGATCTTGATAACATTTTTCGTAAACGTATATTGATATAATATTTTGTGAAAAGTGAGAATAGTTGACTATGATGCATAGTGGGTTATAATAACAATAATATGAATGTCAGATTACCAAATTATGCTTTAACTTCTGCAAATGATCCTACACAAAGTCAGGCATATATTTTTTTAATAATTCTAGTCCACATGTTGTAGAACAAATAGGGTTAAGATTTATCGTAAACTAATTTTTGCATTTAGGAAACACACAAGATTATTTGTATAAGAAATAATAATATGCATATGCAGTGATTTACACAACTGATTTATTAGAAAATGTCTTCACATCAAATTAATTCTTGGCAAAGTATCCTATAAGAACATTGTTTTAATTTGTGTCATGATCACAGTCCAATGTATACAATGTATTAAAATAACATGCAAAATTGCAATGTTCTTGTCCATATTGAATATTTAATAATATTTGACTTTTGTTACAATTACAGTTTAAGAGAAGAAACCGGTAACACTATTTCCAGTGATGTGCCCTTGCTATCTGCTGGCTATATGCTAATTTTATTGTATGCCATTGTCATGATTGGAAGATTCACTATGGTAGAACATAAGGTAGGTAGACTACAATGGCTGTTCTGTGATGCCCAAGTGAATTTGTAAATATACCGTACTTCCCGATCATAAGCCCCTTCCCGAGTATAAGCCCCCCCTCTATTTTTAGACATTTAACGAGTTGAGGGCATCCTCGATTATACGTCCAGGGTGTTTTTTATCGGGCGACGATGACATTTATTAAAATATGTGTGTGAAAATTCACTTCCACATTAAAAAAATTACATCATCAATAATCGGGAAAACATCGTCAGTATGACACAGCATTTGATTGGTTAATGAAAGACTTGGACCTGTTAGGACAAAGGACTTTGTTTCAGTCAAATCATGGTGAAAAGCATCATGGCAGGAATTGCTTTGCATAGAGAGTTTGGTACGATCAGAAACATTCCACAACGAAGATAATGATAAAGATCTTGCCTCGGACTGTTTCCCCACAGACCCGACCCATTTTTACACCGTGATTCAGATAGTATGTAAGTCATATTTTAATAAAATATGTGTATTTTTATGAACATGTTTGTTTCTTCATTTTAAAAGTGTTGTGAAACTGTAGGATGACTTGTTCCGCTTTTTTTCTTCTTCAAAAAGATGTAAAAATACCCAAGCCCTGCATGGTGAATAAAAGATGTACTTTGGATAATTTTCCATGGGTGTTAAGATTGTTACAATTGTAAACCTTGGTCCTTGAGTATAAGCCCATCCCTCAATTTTTCCTATTTTACATGTTTATGCCCCTGAGCTTAAGATCAGGGATGTACAGTACTGAAGAGCATATCCTGTAAAATGCTTTAATTTGGCGCGTCAGTAAGAATCATGAATTTTTATTACAGTGAAACTTTGTCTGTGGTTCTAAACAAGAGTTTCAGTGGCCTTCATAAATGCCATAGAATTATCCGATCACAAGAATGCAACAACAATTGAGCTGATTTTTTGCAGTACATGCGCAGGATCATATCTCAAGGAACTGCATCTCCAATAAAAGTACTGTAAAATGACTAATTTTCACTGGGTTTAAATTTCGCTGATTTACCATGTCAGGCATATTCAGTGGGTTTTAAATTCACAGTTTTATCATTTAGATAATGTCTTCTTGCTATATTTTATATACTCACTGGGTTTTAATTTAGCGCTTTTTCCAAGTCAGTGAAATAAGGAAAATTAAAACCCAGTGAATAATAAACCCTTTTACAGTACATATTTGCATTTATTGCATGCTGGGTAATTCTAATATGACTTTATTACTTGGATCAAAGACAAACAGTAGTACAGTTATAATCAATGTTTGTTTCAACTCAATAGCAAGCAAGTTATTCACCTGTGGAAAAGCGTGATCGATCGCTACTAAAACAATATGTTCATATATTGTTTTATTTCAACATCATCAAGTTTTTTTTTAAACTGTGAAATTTCAATGACTAATGAATGTTTTTCACTATTGCCTGGTGCCTAAATATGATACTGATAGCAATATTCTTCACATCTTGAACTCCATCAGTAATATGACCCTTCGTCCCAAAGATCGCCCATGTATTGAACATATATGGTAGTGCAATCATTTTTAAATTTTAATTTCTTTTTATGTCCTAGACAACAGTTCCGGGTATTGAATGTCACTGTTATATCTCTCCTGACCCTTTCTTTGTGTGCAAAATTAAATTGCAATGGCTGCCATAAAGTGTATCTTGCCACAGAAACTGTGATCTGTGTCTGAGACTACATGACAGAGCTGTATGACCATCTTCCAATAATAATGGTATTATTGTAATTTAATGTCCTCACTCTACTATGCGCTCTCATGTTGATTTCGACTCAGTGTTATAAATGTAAAACAAATATTCCAAACTATCTTAGTTTCATTGCATAGTAATATAAGACAGCTGTATAAATTCATATAAATGAAGATATTCCTTGCATTATAAATTATTTCATTGTTTTTTTTTCTGTCCATCCATCCACACATTTGCCCATCCATTTGTGCGTGTGTCTGTGTGTCATATTGTCCATCATCATACCTTGGACTTGCCTTGACCGATTTTGTTCAAAGTTGGTACAAATACAGTGTTCTCCCCAATGCAGTTTAGCTTACTTGTGCTGACCGATAAATTTCTTTCCATACGTCTTTAGTTGCGAATGATCAATGATAGATTTTGTTCATGGATGTAGTCACTTCTCCGGCATTGCTTGGTTACCATATTTACTTTAAAACTTTGAAAGTGCAATAATGATACTGAATTTCTTCTCAATTTCATCATTGCTTTCAATTGCAAATAATTCTAGCCTAGTGGGTTAATGTCATGTATATTTGCTTTTATTGTTTATTTGTTTATTTTGATGTGTTTACATCAACACAACCCAAATTTCACACTTCCTTGTAGTGCTGTTTTTGTTTTGTTTAATGTATTAATTGAAGAATGCTGGAAACATTACAGGTTGACAATAAAACTAGAACAGTCTAGGTGGGATATGTCTTCAAATCTGTCAAGAGATTCGGTGTAAATCACACAGTTACCGGGGGGGGGGGGGCTACCCTAAAATGCTTTGGGGAGAATAGGTGACTTATGCATGTTAATATTTGTTTTCATTTGGTTAACCCTTTGGCCACCTGATCTCCATTTTTCTCCCAAAAAATCAGCATATGAATATGTCATCCACTCACTATTCTTCAGGCATGCCTTGACAAATTTTCTTCACACTTGGCATTGATTTCACTCATGGCCGGGTTGCTGATGCACATCAGTTTTTTTACCTTGCCCGTACCATCAAAGATGTAAGGGAAAGGTATATTAAGGGAAAAATTTTGTCCGGCGTTGTCGTTGTTGTCGTCGTTAATAATTGTTATTGTGTGCATAATAACTTTACTAATTCTATTCCAAACTTCATCAAACTTGGTCACCCTACTCATCAGTATAAAATCTTCCCTGAGTTTGAACAACAGATGTCCTGTATTAAAATATCATGCAAAAATTGAGAAAATCTGATAAAATATATTGTCTGTTTCTACTTGACTGATCACTGGTGATACACATCAAAGGTCACTGATCTCAGTGGAAATATGCATTGTTGTATGTGTTCAATGAAGCAAATCAGTTATCTTGTAATAATATCCTTGGTAATGTATCCCCTAAATCCCATGGGAATACTATACTGGGTTTCAAAACCAACTCATGGGGAGTTGTTTCACAGTCTGATACTCATTTGCAAACCTACCAATAAAATCTTTACAGAAAACAAGATGTCAGAAAATCAATATAAGCTCCTATGAACTGGGTGCCAAACTTTGATCAAGATCTGAAGCTAATAGAAAATATGTTTAGTTCAAACTTATCAAATCAAAAACAATACATAAAAAATACATAAAAAGCAAAGCGTTGCATCCACATTTTGAAAAGAAAATTGTACTAAAATATATGTATTCTGTATTTGACAAACAGTTCATTCGACAAATGAAAACTTACAGGAATATGTTTCAGCTATTAGAACAGAATGATAGAGTTTTTATAATACTAGTTTAAAAACGCACTTCAGAGATTGCAGTGTTTGAAGATGTAGTTTCTCAGGAGGCAACAGTACTGTTGACTTCTCCCTCCACTGCACACCAACTAACTATTAAGGTTGATTTGCATACAAAGCAGAGCTTGCAACATGATAGCTATTCATAGAGGGTGTTTTTTTTTACTTTTCGTATAATACAGTAGTCACACAATGAGGCAGTTCATATTTGTCTCAGTGAATCATTAATTTTTGACAGACACCTGTACAAAATACTTGGACAATA